GTAAACGCGCGATAAGAAAACAAAAAAAGAGAGGAAGTACTTTTTCAACGCATAGTCTTATCCGTATCGTCTGGATTCACTACAAGTAAACGCTAGAACCATCAGTCCTCAAAATATTGTTTGGTCCCTGGGTAATATTCTCCCTCCACCTATATATTGCCTGCCTAAAGAAAGAGAATCCTACATACATTACATTATAAGGCTACCTATCACCAGCCATCGTATGGCGTGTCGCGCGATAGATCCAATTTATGTTTATTAACCGATGAGTCCTCGTTAAATTGATCGCTAATCCGATTGCTATCGTACGATCGACGGCAATCATCTCGACCGATTCGATTTCAAGCTGTGAAAACTCAGTGATTACATCTTCTCGCGTGAGCAGAGAAGGAAAAAAAAGATAAAGCTACTGCCTCGGAAGTCTCACAATCGAGTACTCTTCTTCTTTCCTGGTTTTTTTTCTTTTGAGATAACTATCGCTGCGCTTCGCGTAATTACTTCGCTAGAGTCGTCAAAGAGTTACGTAATTAGAGGTATGGTTTTCATCTGGAGGCGGGAGAGAAGGTAAAAGGGAAAATAAGTAGACGCAATGTGGAGTAAGTTTCGTAGGAGAGGCGGACGGATCGGATTATTAGTTGTTTAGTTAGCGTGTTTATAGGTCAATCCGAGGGATTCGATTGGGATTCTAGTGGTACTTTGTAGTTGCGAACGTTGTTAAAAGTGTAATTTAAGTCAAGCGTAACAAATATGATCGCGAGATGAAAAAAGGAAGAAAATAAAAAGAGAACACGGGCTAAAGTTCGATTAATGTACCATCACCGTCCTGATAGATAGTTGATTAAAACGGTCGATTATTATCTTTAACGAGGAGAAGAAACGTTCCTGACGACGATACATGTCCCTTCACATCGTTAAAGCTATCAAATCGAACTGTAAGACAAGCTTAAGGAAAAACAAAACCTATATTATGCAACTTTAATATCGTCTACTTCAATAAATATATAATATATTCTCTGAAATCTATTTACTTACGTGCGTACACACGTACATATATGTGTAAAAATAGCTACAACAAGAATGGCCTTTGATTGCCGCATTGAGTAATGCGCGTTACGGATCTCTCATCGAACGTAAGAACAAAAATCTAACATGAGATATACGTACATGTACATGTATATATATGTATAAAGGAGCTATTGAACATTCCTTCACGACTTACATTAAAAGACGCGCGAATGCGCGAACATTCACCGGGTAACTGGATGCCTTTGTATCGAAGGAAGAAAGACGCGCCGATCTTCCCTGTGTCGCGACGAAGAACACGCGATCCAGAAGTATTATTCCTGGACGGGTTCGACTTCTAAACGAGTCCGGAATCGAACATGGTGTGCGTCAGTGAGTCAGTAAACTTGTACCACTCAACGGGAAGTACTTTGGATACTGGTGAAGAGGACTGGATGGGATTTCTCGCGTATCCGAAATATCTCGACGTGTTTTTCTTTTTCTCCTTTCCTTTTTGAGAAGACGAGACTCCGCGGGACTGTCCCTGGCTAACGTTTCGCCGTAATTCTCGACGCGACCAAGTTTAACGCGATTGCCTCCCGTGATCTTCTTGGACTACGTCTACGTTGCACGGTGAGAGATTTGCCCGATCTGTGAGAAGACAAAAGTACTGTATCCGGTTGATAAGTTGCAGAGACAGTATTTGAAAAGATGTCAATTTGAAGAGCGAATTCTAATTTCAAACGATATTTTCCACTAAAAATTAATGTAAAATCCAACAAAGGTAATTCATTTCATCGGTAATTCATCCTTTACCGAGCAAAAATTGCACCGTGCAGTTATCCTGAAGGCGGCTCGAGAAGAAAAGATGCATTCTAAGCGGCGAAACATGTAGCTACTGGTGAACGGCGCAATATCGGTAAAAAAAAAGAAAGAAAGAAAAGCTTTCAGACTAGTATAGCTACATTCACACGCGATACAGCACACACGACGAGTACGTACGCGTCTGCCCCATCTTCTCCTATACCTAATACCTACAGTTCCTGATTAAAACTCACCGAAACACGATCTAAGTCGTTCTGTGCTCGCATTCCTGCCATTTCTTTTCTATCGCTACTGATAACCCTGAATCTTCGTGACACAACTATTTCGAAGGCGGTGCATATACATTACACGCGCGCGCGCGCGCTAAGGCTTTCACGTAATTATAAAATATCTGAACTCTGACGCGACTAGTAAATGACTGATTTCGGTTGTGTTCTATAATCCTAATCTATTCTCGCAAAAAATACTCGCTAACTGCTACGATGATGACGATGAGGATGATAATGACGATAATGACGATCGGGACGACGAGGACGACGACCGACGATGATAACGGAGGTAATGACGCGATGATAAAAGATGATAACTATGATGATGCAACGTGGACAATAATTAACAACTATAAGAGCAATCGGCTCGTAATTAACAATTATCGTCTTACAAATTTACGTGATTGTATACGTACTACGTGTCGATTGGTGACTTTTTCTGTGCATGTTCACTTTTCCTGAAGCTCATAATTTTCGAATTCATGTGATGTATAAAAATTGTGGCACCGAGATTAGACGAGCAACCTCTTTTACAGTCTCGTCAAAATATTTATACGTATAATATTGATAACAATAAAAAAACATATGATGATCAGCTTTTCAAAAGGAAAAGATTTCTTCTCGTTAATCTCATTCACTCCTCGTCTAATCTCTTGAGATTCACAGGAAAAAGAATAGTCAAACATTATTGGAACCGTCGAGGAACAGAGAGAATCACCAATCGTCAGAGACGTGCCGCATGCGGTATAATAATAATAATAATAATAATAATAAAAATAATAAAAGCGCACAACTTCATCCTTCCTGTCGCGCACGCATCTCTCTCTTGAAAAATTAAAAAAAAAAAAAACATTTCCGCGTATAAAAAGCCCCGTTATTCTCGTGTCATAGAGAAGAGAGGCGTTCGTTTTGGTCGCCTCCGTTTCTCTCGTGCCGCGGGGAGGACACGGCAACGGGAGCGATCAACGAGCAAACAACCCACCAGAATGATCAGCAGTGGCGTACTCGGTGAGCAACGGCGATGCGGCCAGGGCGGCATAGTTGGCGTAATCCGCGTACGGCGTGTAGATGAGCCCGTGGGGATCACCGGCAGATAAGAGCGAGCCGGGTGGCCCGGAGCCGTTCAGCAAGGACGCGGCGG